AGATGCAGGTGATGTCGAAAGGGTCCGGCGGGGGCAGCAAAGATGATTGGAAGTAGCAGCCGGGAGAACTGGGCACGCTCAGCCGAGAGAAGCGAAGCCTACGAGGGATGTGGCGGCGCTCTGCACGCCCCTTGGGCTACCGCAGAGGAAGGTCAGGATCCGTTCTCATCCGTCCCCGAGTGTCGGACACGGAATATTCGGCTCAAGTTGCAGGAGGAGCTTCCTCACGGTCAGAGCAACACGACCGTGGGAGCAGCTGCCTGGAGAGGTGGGGGCTCTCCCAGTCGGGAGGCATTCAGGGTGAAATTGGGCCGCCGCCTGAATGAGAAGGGGTAACGTGGTGTCCTGCAGCAGCAGGGGGTGGACTAGATGGCCTCCTTGGTCATTTCCGACCCTGCTCCTCCATGAATCCATGAGGTTTGTGCCAGTTGGAAATGAACCCGGCGGCTCAAGCAGGTTTCGTGCAAGTCACACTGCAAGGATGTCGTTCCTGCACAACTGGGGCTGTTTGTATACATTCAGCAAGTAGCATAAATTGAAATGAAGCAGCACGGCCTGTTTCTGAGCACGGAACCGGAGAAGGCGAAAGGCCATCGGGTCCAGCTCCGTACCCCACCAAACCATCCCTTGCAGGTGGCGGTCCAGCTGCCTCCTCAAGGCCTCGGGGGGGGGGGGGGGAGCCCCCCACAACCTGGGTTGCAGGTTCCTTATCCTGCTGCTCCCGGTCAGGAATTTCCCCTTAAGTCCAGCCAGTCCAGCTTCCTGTCACTTGCGCCTGTTGGTCCGTGTCCTGCACTCGGGGATGATGGAGGAGAGATCCTGCGACAGCCCTTGAGGTACATGCAGATGAATCTCGTGCCCCCCCTCACTCTCCTCTTCTCCAGGCTGAACATGCCCAAGTCTCTCAGCCACTCCTCACGGGGCTCTGCCTCCAGCCCCTGGATCCTCCTCCTCGCCCTCCCGTGAGCCCTTCCCAGCTTCTCTGCATCTTCCTTGAGCAGAGCCGGCTGGAGCCGGGATCAGACTAGATGGCCCGGAGGCCCCTTCTGCCTCGCTCTGTTTCTATGTTTCTATGAGCAGAGCCGGCTGGAGCCAGGGTCAGACTAGATGGCCCGGGGACCCCTTCTGCCTCGCTCTGTTTCTATGTTTCTATGAGCAGAGCCGGCTGGAGCCGGGATCAGACTAGATGGCCCAGAGGCCCCTTCTGCCTCGCTCTGTTTCTGTGTTTCTTTGAGCAGAGCTGGCTGGAGCCAGGGTCAGACTAGATGGCCCGGGGGCCCCTTCTGCCTCGCTGTTCCTGTTCCTTAAACGCTGGAGCCCAGAACTGGATGCAGCGCTCCAGACGGGGCCTCACCAGTGCTGAGGAAAATGAAACTGGTCCTTCGTGGGGTTTGGAAACTTTTATTGATGCAGCCTAAAACAGCATTTGCCCCTCTTGCTGGCTCATAGTCTGCGTGTGCGACCTGCAACCCCCCTAAATCCTTCCCGCGTCCAGCGGCGGAGCCCAGCACCCCCTGTCTGGCTCCCGTGCCTTCGGCCTCGTGGCCGGTGTGGAGCGTGGCGCTTGTCCCTGCTGGGCTTCATCCGTTCTCCCGCCTCTGGCCAGCGTTCCCGCCACCCGGCTTCTCGCTCCGTCTTCCACCGTTCGCCATCCCAGCCAGCTTGTGTCGCCCGCAGATCTGACCGTAGCTCCCGCACCTCCTCAGCCAGATCATTCATAGAGACACAAGCGCCCTGGGCCCGGGCAGAGCCCCCGGTGCCGCCGGCCGGCCGGCCTCCCAGTCTGAGGAGGGGCCCCGAGGAGCGCTCCCCCGGCTGATCCTGCTGCCAGCCCTGCGCCCGCCTGCGGGTGGCCCCACGGGGC